GAGGATAAAATTTTTTTTTTGTTCTTTTTTTTTTGGGAAAAAAAAAAAAAAAAAAAAAAAAAAAAAAAAAAAAAAAACACTAGTTGCTCCAACTCATATTAACTACCACTCACTTCTTCTCTTTATTTATTCATTTCCAAATTAAATTTTTCCTTTCCAGTTCCAAATGTCTCACACATGTCTTTATTCTTATTATTACTTTTATTATTATTACTATAATTATTTTTTCCCTCTTGCACTACGACATGTACAGAGCAAGCAAAAGAAAGAGAGAGAGAGGTGTATTACAGACCTCATATATATATATATATATATATATATATAGTTTCATATTCATTGACTTTTTTGCAGTAAACATGTTTATAACTCCAACCACTTCACTTCTCCCCCAAAGGGGAAAAAAAAAAAAAAAACACAATACTGAACTTTACTTTTTCTTTTTTTCTCTCTCATGTTTTTATTTATTCTTTCCAAGAAATCCTTTATTGGACATTTGCTATTATAGAAGAACACGCAGTGGCAAACCATTAAAAACCAAAAAAAAAAAAAAAACACCATATGTGTATATATACATATATATTATATAAACAAAGAGCAAGAGACATAAACTTCTTTTACTTAACCTTGTTTCATTTCTCTTAAACTATTCATCTCCTCTTTCCACTCCTTTTATTTTTTTTTTTTTCCTTTGCACTTTCTTCATAAATAAATAAATAAACAAATAAATAAATAAATAAAAAACTGATCCAACAGAAAAAGACTTGAGGTACAGTCAAAAAGAAGAACAAAAAGAAAAACAAAAAACAAAAAACAAAACAAAACAACAGAACCTCATCATTTCTATTCCTTCCCCTTCACCCCCAGCATATCTTCTCAATACAATTCGCATTTCCTCCTCTTAATCCTCCTCTCCCAGTAGACATTTCATCTCACTTTCACTTTCACTTTCACTTTCTCTCTGTTAGTTATCTGTTAAACGTGACCCAGACGCCATTGGAGTTTCACTTGTCTGTATAGTTCCGCTGCTCTCCACCAGCGGCGAGGTATCCCGCGGGTAGTGCAGGTGCATCTGCAGTTGTGCCTGTTGCTGGCAGTTCCACAGCAGCGATCGGGTGTCCTCCAGCTGTTGGATGTGCCGCATCGCACACCGCACGGCGAGGTGCTCCAACACATCGTGCAGGGGAACACCAAAGGCCATGGCAAAGCGGTGAAAGATATTACTGCGCTCCGGTGCTGCCAGTGGCTTTAAGAGGAGTTTAAAGGCCGAGAAAAAGTAATACACAATCGTGCGAAGAGAGTCGTAACTGAGATCCAGCATCACCGCATGATGCTCAAACACAGCACGGAGATGTGTATCAACAGAAGTGGGGATCTTTGGATGCAGTAACGCCTCGGTGACAAAGTCACCATCACACGGAACTGTACCTTCTCGCATTTCTGTATTGCTGCGATTCATCACACCATTCATACTGTTTGGATACGACTTTCTCTTGTTGTTGATACCTGTATTCGTATTACTGCCGCTTTGCATTTGTGAAAAAGGGGACTGATCCTTTTCTACAAAGTTAATACCACTCTTTACTTCTGTGGTTACGCGGAGTTTCGAACTACCCTCATAGTTAGAACCCCTATTGCTACCATCTACTGAAGATAGTGGATCCGTACGTGTATTGATATCACGATGTGTTTTCATGGGAGACATTTCATCTGTTGGAACCAATTCAATCAGTGTTTTGGGAACATTAATTTGCTTTGGTCCTTTTGATCCTCCAGGGCCATCAGATAATCGGTTATTACTCCTCATATTGCCACTACTACTGTTACTATTCCTATGAGAACTTCCATAAGCAAAACCAATCCCACCAGACTCTAATGTCCGACAGCTTCCATCAGAATACAACAAAGCACTAGAATCTATACTCGATCCATGAGCTTCTCTAGAAGTAAATGGATTTGGCTGAAGTAATCCTGGATCCATAGATAATGGATTTCCTGCTGCTGTTTCCATAGATGATGGTATCATGGGAAGATTATTATTAGATGTATGTGCTTTTGCGGCCATGGATGCTGCCTGAAGTCGTTTGTTACTTGGATCACTAATAGTATACAGGTCCTGTCGTTCTGATACTCCACGCAAGAAGACACTACCAAGTAGTTCAATCTTCAAACCAGGGATATTATTCACAACATTGCGTGCGGCATTACTTATGCAAACTTCATTAGGTGATGCAAATACCCACATACGTCCACTATAAACAACATCAGGACCTTCATAACGAATAATTCTATTAATAGTCTCCATACGAACTCTGGCATCTGTACACCAATGTACCGCACATGCAAGAAGCAATCGACCATCATCTCCTAAAAGTTCTTGTAAATTATTATCAATAGGATGTGACTGTAATTCTTCAAGAATATCAAAACAGAGCTGTAAAGCTGATTCTACGGAGCGGGCCACAACTGTGGTGGTGTATGGATGTAACTGTACTCCCTCATACGCCCTATGACGTACAATCTCCCGCCGCTGTACAGCTGTTAATCGTTCTGAGACATGTACCATACACTCTGGAGCTAATTCCCATAATTCTTCTCCATTACAAGGACCAATAACAGCAATTGCAAAAGGAGTTGTCTTGGGTGCATGTTTCCATCCTTCATAGTCTCGTATACATATCAAAACCATAAAGGTTCCAACTAGAAAAATGAGTAGAGACCCAAATACAGCAGAAACTATAATAATAACAATAGCTGTTCGTGTAAGTTCTGGTTCTTTATGTACACTACGCAAGCAAATATACCAAGTAAGACGATTACGTAACACGGCTCGGTTTGTTCCAGTATCAATAAAATCTTTCATTTCTTCGTATGTTGGATTTGGATTCAGTGAAAAACGAATAGGTATACTTTCACCCGTTTTGCGTCTAACAGTATAAATAAGATAATCCAGACCATTTTTTTGTGTACTTTCGTTAAGTAAATTAGCATCCATCATCGCATCTACATCTTGAATAACGAGCGAAAATCCCCAAAAATTATCTCTTGATGCGTCAGCAACATCTGTAACATTATAAATAGGATTACGTATAATAAGTTGCCATTCCCCAGGAAAAGAAGGGAGGGCTCGATGAAGTGGTCCAAATGCAAAAACACTTGCGTTATCAATAGACTCAATTGCTGTTGGATCTCCCAATTCATTTTTAGGATCTAAAAAGTCATATTTAGTCATTTCATCATTTTCTGGAAATGTCTGCAACACCACAGCACCTGGTGCAAGTATAAAAGCCTGTACAAATTTTGTTGTTGAATGCATTTTGGAAGCTACTTGATTAAATCGAGGAAACATTTGATCCTTTATACGTTCCTCCACAGTGCCATTAAAAGGTGGTAGTGAAGTCATGGATCCCAAGGTAAATCCCTCCATCCCGTGCGTTAGCGAAATGGCATCAATAACAGTACTGCGGAATGCGGATGCCAAACGGTCCGCCTCGCTGATCTCCAAACGCCAACGCCTCTCCCGTTCACGTCGATCACGCGCCTGGAATACAGTGATAGGGACGGCTATGCAAACAATGAGGATGACCGCACAGGTCAGTCCAATGCCAATGAGCCAGTAGACCCGCCTTTGGGTGGTACTCAATCCCTTTTTCATGGCCACAGCGCCTCCCCTGGAATTTCCCATGATGGCAGTAGTGAAAAAAAGTGGAAAAGAAAGTAAAAAAAAAAAAAGGTCAAGAAATGTGAGAGGTTTCTGTTACTGTTTTTTTTTTTTTGCTATTATTGCTATTCTTCTTTTTTTTTTTTTATATAGAGGAGTGAGTTATAGTAATTGTGTCTGTTCTCCTGAAACAAAGTAATGTCCTTTTTTTTTTTTCTGTATTTTTACTGTGTTATGTCTTTTGACTATCTCGTCCTTCTAGAAATAACTCGTTCCAATGTGTCTAACGGCAAATGTTTCACTCGATTCTTTCAATAGAGTGTTTCTACATTACACGTACATGTGCACAGACACATAGATATAGATAAAGAGAGATAGAAAAAGATGGAAAGTTACGATATAAAACAAAAATAAAAAAAGAGAAAAGTGGAGAAAAGTAAAAATGTATAAAATTGAGTGACAATTATGTAAGGAAGCAAATGGAGAAAATGATGATCAATAAACATACACACACACACACAAAGACAAGAAAAAAAAAAAAAAGAAAACGTCGTGATCAAAATAAAGTGAAGTGATCCATGAGAACACATAGAACGGCTATTGCTGCGCTTTCGATAATATCAATCGAATAATAAGGTATAGGGGATTACCCAAAGAAATAGCAAAAATAGGGAAAGATGAGAACTGATCGAACATATATATATATATATATATATATTCGAGAGTGATGACAAATGTATATATGGATACAGATAGATTGACATAATATATCTGTATATAAAGATACCACAATTACAATGCTACTGGAAGCCAATACACCCCCAAAGCATTGACTCCCAGCAAAAGCAGCAACTACTTCTCTTTACACCATTTATACTGTCTTCACATCAGTATTTCTTTTAATTGCGGATTTCCTTATATCTCTTTTTTTTTTTTTATCTCTTACCCACTTTATCCTCTTGTCAACCGACACATACATATATACATGAATATATATACTCTCATTTCTTAATTTCCAACTTTTCTTCTTCTTCACCGTTTTATGTGGTTATAGCCCCGTGCATACTTTTTTTTCTTTTTTATTATTCTTTCTTTCTTTCACTTTTATTGGAGCTTTTTTGGCATTAATCGTTCCACATATATCGGTTTTTTTTTTTTCAGCTTAATTTTTTCTCTTATTCTATATCTCCCTCATAGTCTTCCAAACAACAACAGTATTTTCCTCACCAATGTATTTCTTCCATCTCCTCCTTTTTCCTTTTTTTTCTTCCCTCTTTTGTTTACTTTGCAGCTTCTGTAGTTGGGGCAATGTGACTATTTTGATAACGTTGCAGCTTCTCCGCGATCTCGCGTCGGATGTGCCGCTCAACCTCTTCCTCCTCCGCGAGTCGATCCGGACCGGCATTACTGCGTGACGATCCTTCGCCTCCCGGTGTGCGTCTTGGTGCGGTGCGGCGAAGATCGAAGAATGGCATTTCCAACAACTGCGCTGCCGTTGGCCGCCGGCGTGGGTCTAATTGAAAAATAGCGGTGAGGACATCAACGCATTCGCGCGATGGGAGGAGATGTGATGGGTCGCGCCGGCGGTGTTCGGCGGTGGCGGTGAACCACGGCGCGAACCCGCGGAACTGGGAGTAGAGAAAACTTGGCTCGAAGAGAGAGCCGAGCGATGGAGTAGCCGACGACCACGAGGAGGAGGAGTTGGCGAGGGCCTTCCGCAGCTGCTGCAGTTGGGCGTAGTGTTGACAGCGTTCCGGGGGAAATGCATCTTGTCCGGCACTTGAGATGGGGCCGAGTACCTCCGTAATGAGTGAAAGTTGCTCTAGTTCCGTCGCAGCACGTTTTTGTTGCTTTTGCTGCTGTTGTTGACGTGGGTCACCGCCGGCGGTATTACGATGAGTGAGGAAGAAGGGCGGAGTGCGTAAATACATCTGCGCAAGGAAGCAGCCAACGGACCAGATATCAACCTTAACATCATACGAAGTCACACCTAGGAGCATCTCCGGTGGGCGGTAGGAGAGATTAATGAGACTCGGTGTTAATGCACGTCTACCAGATCCCTCAAATACACATAAACCAAAGTCACCAAGTTGAACACGACCATCACTGTGAATTAACACATTATCTGCCTTAACATCACGGTGAATAATACCCATTGCGTGCAATTTCATTAAAGCTGTAAGAAGTTTTTTAAATATGTATGCAATTTCCCTCTCTGTGAAGGGAAACCGTCGCTGTAGCAAACCAGCAATACTACATGAGGCATATGGGAAAACAAGACAAATATCATGATGAGTTTGGGACAGTAAGACATCTCGAAGAGATATTACCTCCTCTATAGGATCCTCTTTTTTATTATCACTACTACATGTTCCCATATTTGATACCGAATTATTAGCATTATTAGTAATAGCTCGTTCACGAGCTGTATTAATATGTCGAAGCGCTATCACCTCACGAAGTGAGGTAATGGGGAAACCATCAAGTCCCTGGAGTACTTTTAGTCGTTTTATCGCTACCATTTCATTTGTCGCACGACAACGTCCAATATATACTTCACCATAGGTTCCCTCACTGATTTTCACCCGCATTTCATACTTGGTTTCAACATAGTCGGTTACAGAGCTAAAGTCCAGTGGACTAGGACCGGAAGGCAACGGCACTCCAGTCTTACTGTGGCAGCGGAAGCTTGGTGTACAACCACAGCTGTATATTCCCTGCGGAGTTGGTGTTGGCGACATCACCTCTCCCCATTCAGTGGAATTACGAAAACGTCTCGCCGGCTGCGACGCAGATTCCTCTACGGTTGGATTAACTGATATACTTAGTGGGGGAGCCGGAACCTGATTTTGTTGTTGTTGTTGTTGTTCTTGTGGTACTAGTTCTGGTGCTGATGGTGCTGGTCCTGGTGGTTGATTTTGCTGTCTATCTCTCAAAGTTGTACTTTGCTGGTCTTCCTTTTCATTACCTTGTTCATTTTTCTTCTCTTCTGCTTCAGCTTTAGCTTCCGAATTGCAAGGGACTGTCTTCGTGGAGGAAGGATCCACATGCATGGAAACTGCCTCCTCATCTACTTTCTGCGGTTTCTCTTCTGATGTCGCCGTTTGTGTGTTGCGGCGCAGTGAGAGCCGTAATGTACTTGTGGTTCTGCAGGCACTACTCGCGTCAGCCGAACTCGGCGTCGCCGGCCGCAAATTTAACCGCAATCTCTGACGAGGAGCTGTTTCATTAGTAACAACCCTAGACTCTGCAGAGCCTAATTGCTGCTGCTGTTGTTGTTGTTCTTTTTCTTGTTGTTCTTGTGTCTCCTCCGCCTCTTCTTCTTCTTCAAAGGCACCAGCAGGAGGAGGCGTTGGCTCCAGCAGACGAATACAACGTCCGGCACCGCAGCCATCATCTTGTTCTGGGCCCTCCCTCACGTTGGCATCATTACCCAAAGAGAGTTGTTGTCTTGTGGTGGAAAAGAGAGATGAGAGCACGGCTGCTGAGGAAGAGGGATTTTCTTCACAGAGGCGGGGTTTTTTCCGCTCTTGCATGTGAGACGGTGAATAAAGTGCCCTTGAAACAGCAGCGTCCACTACTTCCTCTTCTTGCTCCTGACCCTGCTGCTGTTGTTTTTGATGTTGGTTTTGTTTTTGTTCTTGTTGTTGCTGTGTCCCTGGTAACGTGAGCGATGGCGCCGTGTTGTTCATGCGCCCGCCTCACCTCACGCTTCCAGTAATGTCAGCGTGGAGATTCCTCGTTTTTTTTTTTCTTTTGTTACTTCTTGTACTTGCTTTTTTTTTTTTTCCTTTCTTTCTATTTCGTGTTTTCTTACGCTTGGGAAACACCACAGCCTAACTCTTCTAGTGATATTATATATATATCACTAGGATCGAATAAATGTGCAAACACACAAATGTAAAGATACACTCACACCTCGTAGACAGACGCAACGTACTACACCCCTTTTGCGAGTGACGAACTACTCTGCCTCCAGGAAGAAGGAGAAAGAAAGTCATATGAGAAGAAGCACTCGTACAAACTTTTCCGGTGGAAGGGTTACACAAGTACAGAGAGACACACACACACACAGAGAGAGATACACATAAACACATATAAACACACAGTGTTAATACCACTGGGTGAAGTTTACAGTTGTTGTTGTTTTTTTTTTCTTTTTTTTTTTTATTCTTTAGCTTCATTTTTATGGTAATGAAAGACGATTTCTCACTGTACCTCTTTGTTATTCCCCATTTACTTACTTTCGTTTCGTGGAGTGATAGCCGTGACCACCAAACAGACCCGCAGAGCCAATACCCAAAACTTCTCCATCCTCAGCAAAACACATTGCAATATCCACCGTCTCGTCTTCATCATTATCACTATTATCACTGTTCGTATCATCATCATTATTATTATTATTGTGGTTACCACTATCACTATTGGATACGTTACGCCTCTTCCTCCTACTCGCATCCTTCTCATCGCCCAAATAATCATTTCCCATACGTTCACGTAGAAGTTCTTCCATCATAAGTTCCTCCGCCGTCATGTTTCCTGAGCGTTGGCGCTCTCGATGCTCTACAATGTGCTCATATGCCTTCTGCAACTCCGGCATTTCCTCCAGAATGCGCAATACAACTCTCCATGCGGTGTTTGACTGTTCCTCTGTGGTATAGCATTGCTGCACAACTTCCAAGAGTGAAGGAAGAAGTTTTCTCTTCCACACTGGGAGATCTGCCAGCTCTGCCTCATCTATGTTAACTCTGCTTTCGCTTGTGTAAAGAGACCGTGCAAAAACATTTCCCTCAAAAGGAAGTAGACGGGCCTCAAATACAAATGTCATTGATACTAAAGAAATATGATACCAAAAAAAAAAAAAAAACACTTACATACGTACAACAGAAGAAGAAAGAAATAAAGAAAAGAAAAAAAGAGAGAGAATGAGAGAGAGAGAGAGAGAGAGCAAGAAGCAATCAAGGCAGAAGAAAGATCCCTCTAGTTTTGCAGTGATAAAATAGACTCCTTTAAACTTCCAGAAAAAAAATTTGTCGAATAAGCGTACACCAATAATAATCATACCTTATAATATCCCACCCTCTCCCTCTTCCCTCGATATCTCTGCTGCAGTAATCAAAACCCTATAATCTACATGATCCCAAACTCTTCCATCAAAGAGACATTATGAAGCCTTACTTTCAATATGCGGTAGTTTGCATGTATGGAAGTGTAACTATCTAATCTAAGAAGGGATCACATATTTAAGGGTGACTACACAAAAAAAAAAAAGAAAAACTTGATATACTGATTTTTTTTTTTATTCTTTTTTTTCTCTTCTTCCTCTTCATTCTTCACAAGACTTCACTCCGGCACAGTTTCAGTAAATGCGGCACTACGTGAAATTAATTGCTGCAAAATCCCAGCAGCAATATTCTCATCCGCCACTAGAGAGTTTCCTTTTCCTGGTACTTCAGTATCTTTTGTTTTTGTGACTTCCTCCTTCTGAAGTGGCTTCTGCTTTTGTCTTTGATTTTGCAATACTTCCCCAAGCGATGGCATGACGTTTGTGCAGAGAGATGAACGCATTGGTGGCGGTGGAATGATATGCGGTGGGTGAAGTTCTTCCTCTAATTTCAGCAGTGGCACCGCACCATGACTGCTGGGAGATACAAAAGAAACAAGACGCTCACGTCGTGTATTGACCTTTAAACCAGCAAAGGCATCAGTACAAACAGACATCTTTGTATCTAACAGAGCTTCAGCGGGAGTAGTGAAAACGGATATATTATCGCAACCTTTGCTCTCCAATACACCAGCTGGTGTACGTTCAATGTTTTTCATTGTGTCATTTTGGATGGTATTGTTGTTGTTATTACTACTTCTGTCATTCATATCCTGTAAAGGGTCATGATGAACACAGTATCGATGAAGAATAGAGTCAATAAGGTCAACGGCACCCTTATCATAGCCATCATTCTCAACAGCATTATTATTACTGTTACTATCACCATGAGTTTCACTAGTTTCTGCATCTTTGTGTACTGAACCTTCCATATTTACAGGTTTCACTTCTTTTTTTTCTTTTTCTTCTTTAACTTTTGTCTCACCTGTTGGTTCTGCGGTGAAAGAAAGATGAGGCAATGCCAAGGAGATGTCATTATGATTTAAACGCACGGCACTTTTTCGCAACCATGCGGGCGGCACCGGGGTGCTGTGCTCACCAGGACTCACACTATGAGAGGATGGCAACAATGTTGGAGCAGTAGAAATTACATTACTTTCTTCCTTTGAAAGTTCCTCCTCAATTTCTTCTTCTTCCTTATTCTTATTCTTATTCTTATTCTGCTGCTGTTGCTGTTGCTGTTGCTTTGCTTGTTGTTGTGGATCCTTCTGGACTTCGGCTGTGGCTAAGAGCTTCCGTAGTTCTGCAATTTCACGGTCTTTGGTGGTTATAATCTGTTTTGCACGTGCAAGTTCTTCCACACATTCATCATAACGTTCACACAACGTCTTACATTGTTCAAGAAGCTGCCAGGCATATTGTTTGTATACCTCCACATCCTCCTCATTTTTATTTTCTTTCTCTTTGCTCTTATCCGCATCACTACAATCATTCATATAGTGGCTGGCTGTTCCTGGGATATGGTTACTGGAGTTCATAATGCTGCTATTATTACTGTTTCTACCACTTCGTTGAATAACAGCGCCAGATACAGTGTTTCCTCTCCTTTTCTCATTTGATATTTCCCGCCCGCTAATATTTGTCGCTACTGCTGCTGCTGATGATAATAAAGATGATGACACTACTGGTTGTGTATAAACACCTCTAGAAGAGAGTGCTCTTTCCCCACTAAACCCTTCAGCACTACTATTAGTACCACTAACACTGTTAATATGAATATTATTATTATTAATGTTCGAAGTGTTTCTATTAATCGTACTGGTGGGAAGTACAATTGGTGCGAGTTGCACATGAGCGGGTATTGCAGAGGCTTCTGCTCCCAAGCGAAGTGACTCAACAGTCTCATGAAAGTCACGCTGTCTGCTTGAGCAGCACACTATCCATGCAACTGTGGCTGAACCATCAGGAACAAGAAAGGGCTCAAGAATAGTCGTTAGGGCACTATCACGAAAAGGGACACGTGTTGTTAACGATGTTGTACGAAGAGCACGTACTACTTTGCGAAGTGCGAGAAGTGAACTGTTAATATGCCGCATTTCCTTTATTCGTAGTGAATTACGTTCGGCCGCCGTTAATCCATCGCCATCGCGGCGAGTTGCATTGAAAGTTGAGGCTACAAGTGGGACATCTACAGTAGATGTCGGCAAAAGTGGTGATGCCACTGCGCCATCGTGTTCTACTACAACACTAGTATTACTGCTGGTGCTGTTAAGATTGTTATAACTGTTATTATTACTATTATTAATATTATTATTATTATTATTATTATTATTGCTATTACTGTTACCCATTCCAATCCATGCATACTCACGGTAGGTCTCCGATCCCGCGAGGTCGACGAACATCGCCTCACCGAGTGGATCCACCATGCCGGTAGTAACATCCGTACTGTGCAGTACAAGTCTCAAGAGCAGATGACTACGCGAGGAACGTACATTCCGCTCTGTTTGACTACGATGCCGCAGTGCCAAAACCCCGCAGAGGAGTCGCCAACACTCAACGGCTGAGGCACAGCGAAGACGCATGGCTCCACGGAGTACTTGTGATTTTTCAGTTGATTTGTATGATATCTTCCTCATCCCACTGCCGCCGCCTAATCCGCCATTTTCGTATCGCATCCACGCCCGCCGAATATTATCACTCTCCATATCATCTAATACCGGAGAGGAAGGCTTTCCATTTTTTTTCTTACTTGTATGTGTTTTTCTCCGTTGCTGTTGCTGTTGAAGTTGTTGTTGAAATTGAAGAGCCACTAGGTCTGTCGTACACTCATTATACACTTCAAGACAAGAAAGATCTACAAAGTCCACAGATCTTCCATATACCTCTATACACGACTTATCAAAGATAGCACGCAAAAACCGAGGAACCATTCCCTCTTCTTCTTCTTCTTCTTCTTCACATGTCTCTTCTCTCGTAATAAGTCCAGCACGCTTGTTTGATGCAAGTCGCTGTCGTCGCTGAAGCTCATATATATTATCATCCACTCCTGGTCCAAACATCGTGTATGTTTTTCCCGTAGCAGTTTGTCCATATGCAAGGAACATGCATCGTTTTCCAATAATCAAATCATGCAGAAAAGGACGTACTACTTCATCAAAAACTCCCTTCTGCTGTTTTTGTTGTTGATCCTCTTCTTGTCCTGAAGAGGAATTAAGAGAAGTGGTGCCTACAGCACTGGCAGTCATAGAGCGTGGAATGAAAACACGCTGACATGTAGATGAAGCCATACTTCCAGAGAGTGGGTCCGTTACTGTAAATGTCTGTTGCTGCTCATTACCACTCTTACGGAGTGAAAGCAGCACCATTGTGGGTGCAATCCATGAAGAAGTTTGCAAATCCGATTCATCACGATCCACATCTGTTGTTGAGACAAATGCATGCGGTGGTGCAAAACGACAGTAAACCTTCATCCCACCACCTATACACACAGACATAGAGAGAAAACACAAATAGAAAAAAAAAAGAATATACAGATAGACAGAGAGAAGCACATACAAAAGCAGATACGATGAGGAAACCATAAGTCTCTACAACGACTTGGTAAATAATCTATCCCTTTCTCTTTTTCTCGAAACAAAGACACGATCAAATAAAACTCCTCCACATATATATATATATATATATATATGCATTCTCAACCAGAGAGAGAGAGAGAGAGAGAAAGAAATAGAGTTAAAGAGAAACACCAATAAGACGACTTCTTTTATTAACAGTGAAGTGGAAGGGATGCTTTTTCCAATGTCCACGTCATAATTCCATTGTCGTTATTTATCTCTTTACCCGGTGACCTCATCTTTCCCTGTAACACACATGGGTATGTAATGGACTGAACAGCACGTTTGACCGCCAAATCAACAATTTCCCTTAATTTTTCCCTCGAACGCTGCGTTACTGACGCTGCACCACTACCAACGACAGGAGCTAATGGTGGAAGTGTTGTGTTCATATCGACAGGCAAGTTTACCTGTGCACTATTCCCAGAGGATGGCTGAAATTGTTGTTGTTGTTGTTGTGATGCTGCTGCTGCTGCTGGATGGTGTTGACGACGTTTGACAGGGGCGACATCATATAAAGCTGTGAATTGAGGTTCGCTGGTAAAACTAAGTTCAACTTTGTTACCACAGAAAGCAGCATAAAGTGTAGCATGAAAAACAATACGTCTAACTGATAGAGCACAATGGAGAGTTAACACATCTGATGGAATACTTAATGTTGCCGGAAGTGCAAATAAGAGTGGGAAATAACAAGCAAATTGCAGTGCAAACCTATGATCTTCATATATTATAGGCACTGCAAAACAACGCAATGAGTTTGAATTCATTGGCATAACTGGTGGAATAGAGTCTAAACTATTATCATGCGCATTAGCAGGATTATATGGAGCTTCTAATGAAATAATTCCACTAGGCCCTATACGTGGAAGCACAACACCTATCAAAGGAGATGTGGCCACACCGCCGGCTTCAAGTATCTCTGTAAACAAACCTCCCACACGTGCAGAATCACTACTTGTTCTTGTGTGATGAAGTCCATTTACTAAACCACCTTGTTGAGCAGAACCATACGTTTGTTGTTGTTGTTGATGGCTTTGTTGTTGTTGTTGTTGTTGTTGTTGGTTCATCACTGTACTTAAAGGACCCCCACCGCTAAGTTCAATACGCACAAGTCGAATCATCTCTGGCCGCACACGCAGTGTTCGTTCCACCTCTTCTCTTCCTTTTCCATTTCCCTCTTGTTTACGTCTCAACACCTCCGCTACCTGCCGTGCTGCCCTATCCACAAAGTAAGCAATACGGTCTGTCCACACATCCTTATCAATAGAGCCACCGCCAAGCAAGAGAAACGCCACCCAGCGGCCAAGCACATTACACCACATCGCCCCTTCGCACTTGTGGCTTCGCTCCAGTGTCAGTGTACTTCGCTGATTGTAATTACCGCCATTATTACCGCTGCCGTTACCAACACCATTGTTGTTCATATCACCATCGCCCTCACCTACACTACGTTCCTCCATTGGGACACTGAGGAAAAAGTATGCCGCCATTCCACAGATAGAGATGCTGATCACCAACTCTATTAAGATCTCGAGCATGCTCATGGTAAACAATACAGGTGAACCAAGGCTAAAATATAAATTTTTTTTTTTTAATGACTATCAATGAATAATAGTAGTAAAACAAGCCAGTTCCCACTAATTCTACAGAAAAGAAAAAGAATACAAGAAAAAAAAAGATATAAAACGTATAATCCCCAAAACCCCAAGGAACGGAATCAAACACTTGAAAAGAAGGAAAAACCATGCAGGGTACACACTAGTAGTTGTAGAATACGATTTAAAAAAAAAAAAGGGAACACACAGAAGGATATATATATATATATATATATATATATCTATGTATATAATAGGCAAACTAAAAAAAGAAAAAAGTAGCAAGGAAAATACTAATCAGATATGGACTAATGGGAATGAACTAATAGAAAGATAATGATGGTGATGAAACTGTTGTCACGCTCATAGTTTCACCCTTACGATTAATTTTCAGAATAAAAACAATAATGCAAAAAAAAAAAAAAAAAACCTTGGGAATAGTGAGTTCACTGTAAAAAAAAAAAAAAAAAAAACTGAAGAGAGCAAACCTCTACTGATGATAATGACAATCTTAATTGCGTTGATTCTACACAGAAAATGGTTTCAGCAAATACGACGGGTCTATGGAAAGTACATGTTTCAGTAGTTCTGTCGATTCCTCTGTACGTTTTTGGAGACCACGGAAAGAAGCCATCAAGTACAACAACTCCACATTCTCAGGAAAGGTGCCAAGGGAAGCAAGAAGAAGATCTTCTATTACTGTAGCAAAGAATTTATGAGATGCCGGGGGCTCCTCCCACTCTTCAAGAGGTGAAATCCTTGTCACTCTTATATTTTGTACCAATTCTTTATATCGTTTCTTTTCCTCTGCGTAACGTAAACTCATTCGTCTAATAAACGGCACAAGTACGATTGGCTGAAGCGATGCCAATTGAGGTGTAGACGAATACTCTTTCCCTTCACTCTGTTTTTTTTCTTGTTGTTGTTGTTGTTGTTGTTGTACATATCCATTTCCGCCCCTTCGCAGTACTTCCGTCACTTTAGCCGCCACAAGTGAATCCCACTGTTGCCGCTCCTCCCCCGTTAAACGGTTCCATTCCTCATCCATCACAAGAAGTGTGTGCCAGGCAACAAAGTCTTCAGATGTAATGGCAAGCAATAAATTCTCCATCGCCTCTCTTCCACGGCCATGGCGGGCGTACCATTTGGCAAAATGAAAATTACGTATCCACTCCGCAGATGTGTGGTTCTCTTCAACTGACGGATCCATACCGCTGAAATGCTGTTCAGAAGGCTGAGAAGAACATCTCGGCAGAAAACGCTCCACGAATTGTCCAGGGAAAAGCATATTTAAGAAGGATCCCGGCCAAATCCCTTGATCCGGTTGGTTCTGATAACACAATTTTTCATTAGAGCAATTGGTATTCTCTGCCTCTTTGTAGAAAAATACCAACGCTTTATGTGTATTACTTAATTCCTCAGCAGTCTTCTCCTGAAGGAGTATATACCGTGCACTATTATGATCTGCTTCTTCCAGCTGCGAGCGAAGGATTGCATTCTCCGCAAGCATCCTATTTGTAAATGACGGATGTATCTTTGAGTTTTTCTCATCATCTTGAACTCCAACAACAGGGGATTCCATTCTTGACTTCACTGAAGTGCCTTCCGGTGATGTCACATTTTGTTCAGTGTCGCTTTCCTGTTGTTTAATACTGTGATCTGTCTGAACTGGTTGCTCTGTCGATACAAGAGTGATATCATCCTCTGGTGCAGATGCGGTTAACCTGTAGAATGTGCTTGCAGACTCTTTCATAGAAAGTGGACACACTTCCTGAACATGTGATGGTGATAAGGAATCTGCCTCCCGTTTACCATTAGATATCAATGAAAACGGTACCTCATTCATATTAGACCGTGTTGAAGACGAGAATTGATTTAGTTGTTGTTGTTGTTGTTGTTCTTCTTCTTCCTTTTCTTTTTCTTCTTCTTCTGCGTGAAGAATTGGCTGCGCAGGTGAATTCCCTGCCAAACTCCATGATGACCGTGTTCCCGCACTCACTGGGGTTCCCGCAGCCGAATGCGGGGATGCCGTCTCTGCCTTTTTCCCATCACTCACACTTAACGCCGGCCGCACTCTACTCGGCGGGACTTCCGAGACTCCGCTGAGTTCCCCATCGCGTTGGTGCATCCACGTGTTGCCCGTTTCCGTGTCGATAAGATGAAAGGTGTCGTCCACCTCAAAGCTGGTCACACCGCTCGACACAGACTCAGCCATAGTTGTTAGAGTATTATTATTTCTTTTTTTTTTTCTTTTCAGATTATTATCAGACTACACAGAAAGAGAGAAAAAGAAGAAGGGAGAAAAAGAAAATGTCAAGTAATGGGGAAAAGACACATAATATCTACTATGGAATAATATTCACTTTACCAACTACCTCTGTCACTTTGTTTCTTTTTTTTTCTTTTCCTTCTTTGTTCTGTTAAAGAAAGCAGAGAAAAGTACTCTCATCAATGGATTATTTTGATATACACTTGCACAACTTCCACATATGTATTTCTTTTTTTTTTTTTTTTTGGAATAAATTATTTTCTTTTTTCCCCTGTAAACATTAATATTATTATTAATATTATTAATAATAATAATATTAATATTATAGTTGACTATGACGTTTCTGTTGTTGTGCATGAAAATATGTCGGCGACCTATAATGTGACCCGTAGATGAACTCAAAGCTACACGATGAATAGAGGAGCAAAGAAGAATTTCACCCCATCTAAACACACACATACACACACAGACACAGAAATAGGAGGGGAAAAAACATATATATATATACACGCAGGAATTTTATTTCCTTTTAGCAGATTACCTTTTTTCCTTTATATTTCGTTGTTCCTTTTTTTTACTTTAATTATTTGTTTTCTTCTTTTTTGAACTTTCTATCGATTCCATATATATTTTCCGTATTTAAATTTTGTACTAAAATTATTATTGGAAAGTATTGTATCCGGCAGGATACTATGGATCGACAAAACCACTTGCAGACATTCTTTTCTTCTTTCTTCAAATGTTCCCCCTCCACTCACCCCGTTATTGTTATTATTGTATTTGTTGTTGTTGTTATTTGCTTCCCCAAGTTGTTGAACTGCCTCACTCTTCATCGTCAGTATCGATAAAAAAAAAAGCATGATTAAAAGTAAAAGTAAAAGTAAAAGTAAAAAAAAAAAAAAAAACAACAACAATGACGCACATACATACATGCATATATTCATTCCACTCAAAGACACTTGCAAAAAAAAAAAAAAAAAAAAAAACGGAAAAGCCATGAAACTTTCATATTATATTTCCCTCTCATTGAAATAAAGGGAAACACACACACAAACACTTCTTTTTCATTTCCCTTCTCTACCGGCCTCGTCTCTTTATGAAGGATGGTTAAGAGGAACAACAAATCGAGCCCACAGCGCGGCGATCACACCCACCACTCCCCAAATGTAACAACAAACCACAAAGTCCACGTGCCGCAGCAGCAGCGAGACCAGCAGGGCACCGGCAACGTGGCCCAAATCCTGCACAGTGCGCATCACTCCAAAGAACGGACCGTCTAATTTCTCCGGTGCGTGATCGGCAATGAGTGTTAAGATTAGACCGCAGCCCAAGGCATCCACCGTACCGAACACAGCAGCCATGATATGCAGCCACGCATACGACTGCGAAAGCGGCAGGAGGGCAAATGCAAAGCCAAGTCCCAACACAACCGGCAACATCGCCAGACGTCTACCACAGAGATCCATGATAACACCACCAATTGGGAATAGACACGCATCAAAGGCAAAACTAAGTGAGAGTAGAAATGCAATCTGTGGGTTTGTAAAGCCCACACGCATAGCCGCAAATGTAAGAAGAAGTTTCCGGTTAGCACGAAGCGATACATTTAGAATGATATAAACACCAAGACGCCATATTGTGGTCCATTCGTTTACGATAAGTGTACAAAGATCAGTATAGCAAAACGGTCGTTTTTCCTCTTGTAAGACAGTTCCATAGTTATTACTATTGCATTCTTTCTGATCTAACACCTCCAGAGATGTTGTGTGAGTATTGCTACACGTATCTTTACGGTTTATTTCAGCAGTACTCTCATATGATGGCTGCACTACAACTCCTTGTTGAACTGCATCAGCCATTTTATTATTATCATTACCACCATTACTATTAGCAACAGCAACAGCAACAGCAGCATCATTAGGAATACCAGAGGAAGGAATAGAAGGAGAATGAAGCTGATGATGAGGAAGAAGTTGTTTGGTTTCACATTCGCTCTTCGCTTCTTTCACCTCCTCTTCTACTGTACAGCAAAAAAAACAATTTAGATCCATACATAACCATGCTGCCAAGGAAGACACAAGTGGCACTATAAAATAATATCTCCACTCATCCTTTTTGGATGCTACAGCACCAAGTATTATTGGACCTACTACATGCGACCAGCGCAATATACCAGAAAGAAATGATAATACCATCCCACGATGCTCTTTCTTTGAAACACGAGCAACATAAATATGTCGAGTTAAGAAGAAAACACCTATAGAAAAACCACCTAGTATACTAAAGACACAAAGTGAAATGGCACCAGACTTTACGAAAAACGCAATTGCACATGCAGCCACGTAGACCATGACAGAGCATGTCATAAGTATACGAACATCGGCGCATTCTGCTAAGATTCCACTTGGAATATCGGCCAGCACACGAAATACAGCAACAAGTGTAACGTAGTTTGCAATAACATCTTGGCTGTACAATAGCTGACGACCTACTAATGTGATGATAGGAACCTCTAAACCTGCTCCTATACCCATAAGGGCATTTGAGAGTTGTATATAAAAAAATTGATAACTTACCATTTCGCGAAGACTCCTTGAAATATATTCCATCTTTTTTTTTATTTTCTTTTTTTTTATCCTATTTAATTTTTCTTCTTCTCCCTCTCCTTCTTTTATAAAATTTCCGTGTAGTAACCTTTACTCCTATCAATGTAGCCCACTCTTCGTTTTGTTGAAGTTCTCAGCTCTTTAAAACGACAATGCTATTAAGAAGAAGCCAAGGCAAATATACCACACCTACACTCTGGTATGCTGTTACCCTTTCCATCAAATTCACCCACCACCACCAAAAGAAAAGAAAAAAAAAAAGAAGGTAAAAAGAGAGAGAGAGAGAGAATCGCATTTAGAAACAGCAAGAAAAAACTAAAAGCAAAAAAAAAAAACATTCAGGGAACAAAAAAGAGGGAAAAATCCAACTTTGAAGTAAAATTTCCCTTTTTTTTTTTTTGTTTTTTTTTTACACTTAACACACTTGATTTTTCTACTTCACTTGTTTCTTCTTCTTGCGTTTTTTTTTTTTTTTTTTGATTCTACACTTCTTCACCTGCTTTCAAAATATTCTCACCCCTTCTCTTTACAGTTTGTCCCAAATCATCACATCCTCCTCTGGTCCTGTGGCGGCAAGCAAACTCTCCACCTGTTTCATGTATTTTTCCCGCATAAGCAATGCACTATTAGTGTCATCCATCTCCTCTCCATTGTTTTCAATGTTGCCATCCTTGCTATTAGGGGCAAAGAGACTATTGAGAGTGATGGCGTCTGTAGATGTCAGAAAGGGACTAAGAAGCTCCAAGTGATCAGATCCATGCGGAAGAAAGGCGTGTGGGTGGAACTGTGCAGAGAATTGAGCATCCATCTCCTCAAGCAGTGGCGGCCAAAGTGACTGGCCATCACCACTCGACACTGCAGGTGTTTCGTACAACAATTGAAACACATATGCCCAGAGATGTTTGTAGAAGGGATGCACAAAGGTGCTGGGCCCACTGGGCGCAGATACACCAGAAGCCTCATCACGCAGTCGGGATCCCACCCCGAAAGGAGATGTTGCGGCACTAGTGGCTGGTACAGCTGGTAACGGTGATGTGGCTGTGGTGTTCACCCGACTGCCAGTCCCAACAAGGGCACTTTGGTGTTCAATAGCTTTCTTCCGCAGTAACTGTCCAACGAGATCCAGAAGCGATAGGCCTGTTGTGCGCAATGCGGATCTTACACTACTGAAGCTTCCCAGTGTGGCGGTGATGTTCATTGTTGATATCGAGATATTACCGCTATTACTGGGGGAAGCACCACGACATAACTTTTCCAACTCACGAGAGAGTTTCTCTAACTGATCTGTTTTTGTACAGACAAGAATGGTTCGTAATGGAGATATACCGCTCTTGGGAACTACTAATGCTGGAAGTGAAGTAGTAGAAGTATTGGTCTCAACATCAGATTTACCACCATTTCCAGTACGATTTTTTAATATACCCTCACGTTCAATCCACCGACGTCGTGCTGTACCTAATACCTGCTGTTGTGCTTGCCAAAAACGTTGTTGTTGCTCAATCATACGCATGCGGCGCACTTCATCTTGCTTTGGTAATTCCACTCGAAGTGTCTGTACAATATGAGCGTTTAAGTAACCGTACCACCGCTGAAGTTGATCCTGTAAACGCCACGGTTCACTGGTGTCAACTACGATTAACACTACACTTGTCTCTAAGGTTTCTAATGTTGGAAGTGCCATTGCTAAAGCACCTGGAGCATCACAACAAAAAAATTCAGTCATTGCACGACGTACACCACCGGAAAGAAGACTGGAACCTAAACCGCTAGTGGGGCTACTATACGAAGCACCATTACCCAAACCATCCTCTCCAGTGTTAAGAAGGGAATTTCGGCTCGCTGGAATGCGCTGCATGAGAAACGTCTGGGCTATACCAGCACCATGAGGAAAGTACGCCAGTTGTCGTGTAGTCTCCTTCATAGGAGACCGCCCAGAAACAGTACCTTCTACCGCCGTCACCCCAACAACAGCAACACCACCACTACTGGCTTCAGAACCTTCTCGCCAACCTGGATGGGTAAATGTACGCTTGTCTCCACCTATATTACCAGAGCCAGTATTATTTTCGATACTGTTGTTGTCATTATTGTTGTTAATGTTTTCATTGTTCGTGCTATTATTACTATTGATAATGTTATTGCTACCCGTAACTCCGCCATTCATGTTTGAATATGAAATTAATGAAGTGGATGATGGGAAATGCTGAATCGCTGCAGCAAAGAGACGAGTGGCAAATGTTCGTTTCCCAGCAAGTGCATCACCTACTATCACAACGCGTCGCTTAAGGAGTTGTTGCTCAGGAGCTTCCTGGAGGCCAAGACCAAGAACTTCCCATAAACTCTTACTCTGATAATCTTCCTGTTGATCCATCTGATTATTCTTTTCTTTTTTTTTTTCTTTTTCAACTTTTAGTAGCTCCTCGTTTTTTTTTTTTTTTTTTTTTTTTTTTTT